AGAACAAGATAACAGGAAAGATACACAGTTAATTCTTGGAGAGGTCAAGATTTAATTGGCGAATAAAATTTCAAAGTTCAAGTGGAGACGTTAGAAGTATAGAGTTGAAGTAGACTTTAGAAGGAACTGGAAACCCAATCCTAGACAGGAAACAAGGGATGGACTTCTCTTCTTTTTCAAAAAACTGGGGAGTGTGTGAACCAAACGATAGGCAAGCCTATCTACTGTAGATACTAAAAGGCAGTGATTTCATTTCATTTATTTATTGATTGAAATTGAATTCCCAACAGACTAGTGTCGGCCAAGATTTATTTGGCTTACGTCCATATCACCTTGAAACATCGATTCTCGTAGGGTCACGAAAGTTAAGCAAGATCGAACCTGGTCAGTAGCTAGATGGGTGACCGCTTCGAAATCCCAAGTGCGGTAAGCTTTGGTTTACGGGTGGTATAATGGATAGCGATTCGGAATTGGAAATCGAAGAGCAAAGATCCAATTCCAATCGGGTTCGTTATATTCAATTATACACAAATACCTTTGGGAAAGGTTTACGCCTACCTCTCCTCCCCCGGCTATAGGTTAAATAGTAGGAATTTTATCAGTAAATCATTATCTGCCAATCGAAAAATATTTTCTGTCTTTAAATAACTTACAAGGGTTGATAAGTCGTAAAAAATAAATCAATCAACAATCAATCGGTCAAGATTTCTTTGGTCAACTCTTAGGCAAACACCTCGTCTGAGACACATAAGAATACATTTTTTTAATCGTAATTTTCTTTTTTTTTACTTGTAGTTAATAAATATTTCTTCGTTAACTGATTGGCTGTTTTTTACGACTTATCAACCCTTTTTGGGTTAGTTAAAGCTGAAACATATTGCGGGTTGTAAAAAACAATTATTTTTTATTGCTAGTAAATATTGTAGTTTTTCCAGATGCAAGTCCTGCTATTTAACCCATAGCTTCATTATATTTTTATGATATTGTTGTGGTGTCCTCCCTCTACAGAATCTATGTTGGACTCTTCCGCGTACTATAAGATTAGTAGGAGAGAAGGCCTTAGAGGAACAATCGATCAGATTGTTCAACTGTCGAACTCTCTGTCTCGAGCAAAGAGGAACCTGGACGAGACTTTGCCGAAGGGCAAAGTTTCATCCGGGGAGGTAGACAGACCTTGAACCCGTTTAAGCGGGTTCAAAGGGAATATTTTTGACCGAACCTACGGGCTCGGAGAACCCACGCTAAACTCGGCCTTGTGCCACATACATCCCTCGTGGGGGTGGGGATCTGTTAAATATTAACAGTTGAAAAGATTGAACACTGGGTCAACCGACACACACTCACTAGTCGTTTAACACTGTTCTGTTGTACTTACTGTTTAATATATGATATATCTGCAACACATGTTTTGTCATTTCTTTAACCATTTACTTGGTCACAACAGATATGAAAAAGGGGGGTAAAGACAGACCAATATTTTTCAGAGCCAATTTTTTTAAAAATTCAGCTTCTAACGGGTTTTTTGGTGTTAATGACCCACTAATAATATTACAAAATTGACGCTTATGTCTTGTTCTTTCAAGATGCGGCTGATCATAGCTCTCCACATCTTTCTGTTTTTGTTGCTCTACGTACATCTTACTCTATCTTTTCTTTATTCTGTCATCACGCAAAGGTTGGTTACTCGAAGTTTCTCTCTGATTCTCTTGCCTTCAATAAGACTTATGAGTGTTAAATTTTCTAGACTTTTTTTCCTCATAATGTGTCCAAGAAATTCCATATGTCGCTTTCTAATTGTTAGCAGTAGTTTCCGTATAGTTTCTATTCTCCCCCCAAACTCTCTCCTTACTAATATATTCTGTCTTTAATTCTTCTCAACATTTAATATTAAAAGCGCAACTGCTGTTTCAAATCATCGTCTAATGAATTTTATAATTTATCTTTCTTACTGTCAACTTGCATTGTCTTCTTTGACGACACTTATTGTTCAGCAAAGTAGCGTATCACCACACGCTCTTGATAAGAAAGAAATGATTTCATTCTTCTTATGTACTGTGTCCCTTCAGAGCGTAGACGATTATGGCTCTCCACAATGTCCTGTCCTTCGTAGCTCTTAATAAATTTTATCTTTTTGTTATTTCTACTAAGCCTTCTTCCGCCATCCATTTACTCAAACTCACAAAGTATGTTATGCATTGTTCTCGTCTGTCCCTCTTGCCTTCAATCTGTCCTGTGAGTATCAGATTTTCCAAGCCCCCTTTCCTCATTATGTGTCCTAAAAATTTCAACGGTATCTTCTTAATGTTAAATATGTCTTCTTTTCCTTTCCATTTTCTCTCTTTCTTCGTGTTGGCTCGTATTTGATTGGACTTCTTTTTTACGTAGACCGTAGGGGCTGCCCACTCACTGCAATCTGTTTTTGACAGAATACCTGCTTGTTCGAGTCTATCTTTGTTAATTTGCTCTAGAGCAGCGAAAGGGACATTCCGTTTCTTTTTGAATACCGGTTGTGCACCGTCCTTCACCTTGAACTTAGCTTTCATTTTAGTACATTTCCCAAGGCCGCCAGAAAAAACCTGGGGAAATTGTTGTTTGAGTTCCTTTTTTAGATTTACCAAATTGGACGTTGTACTTTGTATCTTGCGAGAAAATGTACTCATTGGGCAATCGCAAAGATTGAATTTTTCTATCCAATCAGTTCCAAATAAGTTAACTGAAGTTTTCAATACATGGGCCTTGAGCTTTTTGGTAGCTCCATTTAGTGTTACTGTAAGTATTACCTCGCCTAAAATGTTTATCTTTTCGCCAGTTACAGATTTTGCTGTTTTATCCGTTTTTAATAAGGTCGGCTTGTTCAATTTTCGCCAAGTACGCCAGTTAATGGTTGAAATATCAGAACCCGAGTCAAGCTGGAATTTAATGGGCTTATTGAAAATATCCAATGCCATTTACCACTGATTCCTCGATATTTAGGTGTTTGAGTCACGCTTTTGACAGATATTACTCTTTTTATTAATCTGACAGTCCTCTGCCAGTTTTTGGAGAGTCAATCCTTGTTCGTTCTCAAGCTTGGTCAATACCCGTCGTCCGACTTCGGCGTCTTCTGCTCATACTAGACCTTGTGCAATAATCAAGCACTTGAAATCATCGGCAGTCAGTTCGGCTAGTTTAAAATCATTACATAGCTTGTTTACCGATGCTGCAAACGTTAGAAAATTTTGCTGGTTGTCTTTGACTGTGTTCAGATATTTCCAACGTTTGTGAAACAAGGTTGTGTTAGGCCCGAATAGTTCCGATAGGAGCTTAATAGTCTCTGAAAAATCCAAGTCAGTCGTTTTCTTGAGTAGTATGAAGTCTACGAACCTACTATGTTCTGTAGTTCCCAGTTTTCTCAATAGTAGACGTACCTTTTTTTTACTGGGCCATTGGTCACAGTCTACATGGAAAATATTCTCGTAGCACCTGTAAAAAGCCTGGAACGTTTTGTCTTCCTCTGGTACGTATTAAACTAAACTAATTATGTGTTTAGCTTTTTTTTCCGTGGTTCCATTAATTTTAACGTAATTGAATAAATTTTCACCACACTTATGTATTTTTTTTTTTTTTTTAGTTATAAAAAGAGAAAACTCACCTCAGTGAATTTGAGGGGAGAATAATTTTATGCCCGAGTTCAACTCAGTTACATAAAAAAAATTTTCGATACTTTTTTTTTCGAAAACTTGAGTACAATGATAGTACTTGCTCTTGTATTGTCAGTTTGTTTTACGAACAACTGTTTTTTTTTTCCTGTGTGTGTGGGTGTGTAGAAATCGTTCTCGTATTTTGGACAGACTTTAATATTCCCTAGATGTCGAATCGCTGGTTCGTCAATGGTGTTTGGTATTGAAATATATGTAGACGCTGGGTGTTTAGCTTTTAAATCGCTAATGTATTAATACCAGCTTAATTTCTCGTTCAACACTGTTGTGGGAACGCGTGTAATTTGTGTATTTTTCGAGTACTGTCGCTATTGATATGGTGAGAACGAAATTCTCGAATCTTTCTGTCGCCACTGTTGTGGGACTGGCAAGGTATTGCGGTTTTTCGACGTGAATGCGTTTGTCGAATTCTTCGTCGACCCAGATGTGGAATTGGTAAGGTATTTAGGTTTCGCCGTGAGTGCGTTTCTAGAATCCTCGTCGCCACTGATGTGGGGCCAAAGTTGGGACCACAGAAGTGGAACAGGGATTAGATGTAAGAAAGATATATTAACAACAGATTACAGAGATAGTGTAAGCGGAGCTTACTATAACACTCTCTAGAGTGCTATGTCGCCTACTTAATATAGGCCTGGAAGAGTCTATTGTGTAGGTAGTTCCCGGTCTCACAATAATTACTAAATACCATAATTACCATCTTGGTATGGCCGAGATCTTTTCCGCTTGTGAAGTTGCTTTTATGTCAGAGTTGACTTTTTGTCCATTCTGAAATGGTATCGCTCATTGGAAATATATGCACGCAACTAACGCTTATTGATACCCAGTTCCAATGTTTCGTGTTTTTATTTGTTGTGTTTTTTTTTTTAAAGGTGAGGTTCACCCTGTACAAGTCCCAGAAACTACTCGAGGCAGAGGATTACACAGTAAGAAGCACAATTTATGCGGATAGGTAGGGAAGATAATGATTAACCCTAGACTTGAACAGGTTAAGATTTTATTGATCGGGAAAACATTTACTTGGGAGTCGGTTCCATAGCGCAATGATTTGCGGAAAGAAGCTTTTGAGAGTTTCGAAATACATTGTCAACATTCTTTAAGTATAACACGAGTGGCACGTGCGTTTCAAGGCTAGCTGAGTGTCAGTTCAAGATTATGGCCGCTTATCGCGACCAGCCATAAACAAAATGCCAGGATATATGGGAAAAAGTGAGTGCGCCAATCGATAAAGAACGTCGACAGAAAATCCACCAGCCATGAAAGGAATCAGATATAAAGTCTACTAAGAGAACAGTTTCCAATACAATGTTTTATGCTCAGCTATGTCAACAAAACAATCATTGTATACATCATGGTACTACTCTTCCACGACATTTGAAATCGGAATATTGCTTCTGTCCCTGTCGACGAGGGCTTTCGAATATTGCTTCTCTCCCTGTCGACGAGGGCTTTCGAATATTGCCTCTCTCCATGTCGACGAGGGCTTTCGAATATTGCTTCTGTCCCTGTCGACGAGGGCTTTCGAATATTGCCTCTCTCCATGTCGACGAGGGCTTTCGAATATTGCTTCTCTCCCTGTCGACGAGGGCTTTCGAATATTGCTTCTGTCCCTGTCGACGAGCTTTCGAATATTGCCTCTCCCCATGTCGACGAGGGCTTTCGAATATTGCTTCTCTCCCTGTCGACGAGGGCTTTCGAATATTGCTTCTCTCCCTGTCGACGAGGGCTTTCGAATATTGCTTCTCTCTCCATGTCGACGAGGGCTTTCGAATATTTTCTCCCTCCGACGAGGGCTTTCGAATATTGCTTCTCTCCCTGTCGACGAAGGCTTTCGAATATTGCCTCTCTCCATGTCGACGAGGGCTTTCGAATATGCTTCTCCCCTGTCGACGAGGGCTTTCTTGCCTCTCTCCATGTCGACGAGGGCTTTCGAATATTGCTTCTCTCCCTGTCGACGAAGGCTTTCGAATATTGCCTCTCTCCATGTCGACGAGGGCTTTCGAATATTGCTTCTCTCCCCTGTCGACGAGGGCTTTCAGATATTGCCTCTCTCCATGTCGACGAGGGCTTTCGAATATTGCTTCTCTCCCTGTCGACGAGGGCTTTCGAATATTGCCTCTCTCCATGTCGACGAGGGCTTTCGAATATTGCTTCTCTCCCTGTCGACGAGGGCTTTCGAATATTGCCTCTCTCCATGTCGACGAGGGCTTTCAATATTGCTTCTCTCCCTGTCGACGAGGTCTTTCGAATATTACCTCTCTCCATGTCGACGAGGGCTTTCAAATATTGCTTCTCTCCTGTCGGCGAGGGCTTTCGAATGCCTCTCTCCATGTCGACGAGGGCTTTCGAATATTGCTTCTCTCCCTGTCGACGGGGCTTTCGAATATTGCGACGAGGGCTTTCGAATATTGCTTCTGTCCCTGTCGACGAGGGCTTTCGAATATTAATTCTCTCCATGTCGACGAGGGCTTTCGAATATTGCTTCTCTCCCTGTCGGCGAGGGCTTTCGAATATTGCCTCTCTCCATGTCGACGAGGGCTTTCGAATATTGCTTCTCTCCCTGTCGACGAGGGCTTTCGAATATTGCCTCTCTCCATGTCGACGAGGGCTTTCAAATATTGCTTCTCTCCATGTCGACGAGTGCTTAGAATATTACTTAAAACGCCGAAGGGGTAATGGCGTGAGGCTGGTCAACACTGACTATTCCGACCTAACTAATCTGATTCGTGTCCCATTTATTCATTACAATTTACACTATCACCACAAGAACTCATCATTTGATACAACATATACCACAATACCGCATATTCACAGGGATCCTACTAAAATACCCATCACATAAAAATTTGATAATATACAATTTTTATTTTATTTTTTATTTTTTTACAGAAATATATAAAAAAAAATAATTATGGGCTGAATGAAGGGAGGATGAACCCAATAACGAAAACAAAGTACAACCAAAATTTAAAATAAATAAAAAAAAATATAAAAAATGTTAGTAGGACCGGGCCACCCCACAAAAAAATAATAGCGGCCACTGTATTCTGCCGCTAAGCAGAATCAAACATTTCACTCTCTAGTGGCAAAAGACAAACTGGGGGTTTGGAAATCTTGATCTGGATCATAAGAAAACAGACTATCGGGAGCAGGGGTGGAACAGCTATTACTCGCATTAACTAGACAAGAGTGTCTAGCTCCAGTCCACAAGGTTCCTTCACCACGACCCTCAGGCTTCATTTACTCAAAGCCTTTTTCAGCCATTCATCTTAGAAATCGGTTGTATACAGCTGACAGTTTAGAGATTTCACGAACTACTGCTCTAGGATATGATTTCGTTTAGTGATATCATCTGAACCTGATTGGACATCGATTGGTTCGGTTTTACAACTGAAAAACTGTCAAATTTCTTTTAAGAAAAAAAAATCCAATTGATTTTTTTTTTCAGTCGATTTCTCAGCTTTGTTAAATAGGCAAAGTGGCTTTCCTTTCCAGAAACAACATTTTCGACCTCGGCCTGTTGAGTCACAGGATGACGTAGTTTTGGTAAGGCGTTGTTGTCCTTATTTGGTCAATGAGATTGCTTTTATATCAGAATTGTTCAAGACAATCTATTAATCAAGTAAGGAGTTTGTTCTATAAGATTTATTTTCGATATTAAATGACCCCCAAAGTTTTGATATGTTTCAGATGAACATCGTGCTAGAATTCTTGTTGCTTGTAGTGTTTACTTTCAAAACAAATCGACGAAAATATTTTCAACCATCCCACTCTTTAACTGCCAATGTAAACAGCTCGTAATCAGAATTTTTTAAAAGCTGCTTTCCATGAAACAGAACTAAACAGGATATGAGTTTTAGGGAAAAAAATTATGACAAAGTTAAAATTGTTCGTGCGACGCGTTTTGTCGTTTTGACCACAAAACAACATTACCTGACGTTGTAGAGAAATTAAACAAAGTCGAACATGCGTTAAAATTTACTTATAAAATGAAAACAAACACTACTTTGCATTTCCTAGGTGTTATATTACACCGCAGTGACAACAGCTTAAAACTAAGTATCTATTACCAAAAATAACCTCATAAATTTCTATTCTCGCCATAACAACAAAATAAAATCCGGAATAATCATCGGATTCTATTTAAAAGCCCTCGGAATTTTCGGCCTTCAATATTTATATGAAGAGGAGAAATATATTAAAAATACATTTAAGCTCCTCCAATAACTTAATTATTTCATATTCAACGCGAAATCAGATTCGTAAATATTTCAAAATAAAAAAAGTGGATCTTTCTGAGTGATCCAGTGAATCAAAATATATTGTTCAACCTATAAACTGAAAAGAAGTTATCTATGCTCAACATAGAATTGTTATTACTCTTAACAAAATAATGAGCTAAACCTCGAAGGCAGACTTTATCACCTGTAATAATTGTCGTTTTTTGACGTTCAACTTAACGTCAAAAAACGACATTATTTTTGCACCAACCTAATAACAACACTTTGATCGTATAACTTCTGATTTTACTGAACATAAAGTGGGTGTTCCGTTTTCTGTTGTTGTTAAGTAATAAACTAGACACCCACCAAAATTTCTATATATTACTGTAATAATTGGAAAATATATTTAAAGGCTCACATGTAAATAATTCTAAAAATAACAAAATATGATCTTTTTTTTATCGACATGGCTAAATTAGTAGTAAGAACACTAAGTGGGCGTTTAGTTTCTTGTAGTTAAATAATAAACCGATTACCCCACAAAAATGGCTGCTTAATATAATAATTAAAAAAAAATATGTTAATCAAAGGAAGAACTAATAAGGATTTTTTTAAAATTCATGGGTAGATTAGTGTTATAAAGAAAACATAGTCGCTGGTGTTACCTATGAAGATTGTTTTCAGTAAGGTTCTCGGTTAAGTTAGCAAACAAATCTCGCAGCCCACTAGTACCGGAATGAGTTTGGTCCTTACCGGGTACCCCGGTGGCTGGCTTTATATCGTACTAAGCTAAGTGTATAACGTAATTCACTTGAAGTTGCAATCAACAGGAAATTTAGTGTTAGAAATGCTTAACTCTATCTTATTATACTGAAATGATCATTTAAAATTGCCAGGAGTTAAGTTGAAAGGAGAAACACTGGCATAAAATACAAAGAAAACTATCCGTGAAAAATATTTACAGAGATGAGTAATGCCTACTTTCAGCTTGAAGCCGAAAAACCTATATCGAAGAATTTTTTTTCAATCTGTACGCGGCAGGGCATGAGTGGAGGTCGTCATCTATATATAAAATTCCGTTAATCGTTTCGTCACAGCCTCTAAAATAGCCATACATTGACAGATCGAAACCAAATTTTGGAGAGAAGTGCAAAGAAGTAAGGGGGTACAAATTATAATTGGTTTTACTAGGGTGTGTAGCTTAGTACAATAAACTTTCATCCATTTTTTTTATTATTTAACATGCAAAATACTCTGATTTTAAAAGCAATTTACTGATTAAAATAATAGTTATTTTTAAAAAATGCAATATTTTTTTTTTTACATATCTTTTTTTATGTTTTTATATACAAGAATCCAATTTCCAGTTTACCCTGCGTTTGCGAGAACTATAAGCAAATCATGAGGCTAAACGCTTCAAAAAGTTGAGATTTTGGCTCCAAAAAGAAATAATTACGCATAGCCAGTAGTATGTTGCATGCCCAAGAGTAAGAAATCCTAAATAATTATTGTTCGTTCAAAAGGAACAAAAAAAATTCTTAAGGATAGTGTTGAAGGATAAAATCATAATTCATGTTTCCAAGGTTACAGATGAATTCATTTTACTAGACGAGGAGTTGTCTGGGTGTTCAATATGATTTTAGCTGTGTCTTTAAAACCCAGTAATTTTAAAAGTTACTCCAAAATTCGCTTGAGGAGGAAATGGAACTAATGTCTTTAATTTAATTACAAAATTAAATTCGAGGCTTTTAGCTTCCATTTTTGAAACATGGTTAAAACTGTGTAGCGGAAAAAACCATATTTTAAATCAATTAATTTATAATATTAATGCTCTGTAAATTTACATTGAGCACTATTTTGTAAAAATAAAATATCTATAAAGAACACTGGATTATATATCTTACTGTTCTTTCTTTATATATATATATATATATATATATATATATATATATATATATATATAATGTGTGTGTGTGTGTGTGTGTGTGTGTGTGTGTTTTTGTAAAATAATAAATGTGTGAAAAAGTTCCCATAACATATTTTGTGAAAACGGAAGTCTAAATACATAGGTGAATACAATATTTTTCGCTGGAAACATTAAGAAAGCGTTCATTTTTTACTTTTCGCTCTTAATATACTATGATCTTTAGAACAAAGATATAAAGGGGGTGATGGAGATGCTGCGTAAGTTTCTTTCGTTCTAATCTTGCATATCTCGCACAAGAAACAAATAAAAACTTACCATTTTTGATTCAATCTTAACGCCCCTGTTTGAAAATTGTCCCTGACGTTTAATCGAGTTTTCGTTGGTCATAAATTCTTCGAGATTTCCTTACTTCCATTTAGTACAACCAATTGAAAGGAGATGAATAAGCGTATCCAGTTATTTTCTAGTAGCGGTAGTCGGAGTTTGCCTGCTTAGAAAATTCGAATTCGAAATCCTGCCTTCTTAGTTTGGAACTCTAGCCATTTTTTTAAGTCACAAAGTAAACTAAATGACCCAGGATTTCTTTATCGTCTGCTTTTTTCATATAATCCCACTGTAAAACGGCTTTTTTTTCCTAACCCATATTCCTTCAGGATATAAACGACTACGTCTCTCCACAGATTCTGTTTCTATATTATCTGCGAATTGTCATGACTTTTGTGGAAAAATAATGGCGTTGTTTTCTGTTGCCTTCTTCACAATTTTATTTCTATAATCGTTACACTAACAGCAAATCCATTTTAGCTTGCTAGGCAAGAAAAAATAAGTCTATATAAAATACAATAAAAGGTAAATTTCCATCCATAACTTTAACCTAAGCCATTATATTTTTGCGTTGTTGCGTGTAGTTTATGGTTTCTTGTGGCCATCGACAATTCCTCAGGCCCCACCAACGCTGTATCAAGAACTTGAATGAACGACGGACAATATTTAATTTTTTTTTTTTATTCGCTTTATTTCCGGAGACCCATAGTAGTAGTAGCAGCAGCATCGCTTCTTGAAGAAAGGGAGAAAACAGTCCGGCCATTGACCTGCCATCAAACGGGGATTTGTCTTATTCTACTGATGCCACAAAACATTAAGAAATCTGGGAGCTCAAAGCTGTCTTCGCCCTTCTATTACTGTCACGGTACTGAAAGTTTTCGTGCATTTTTTGTCTTATATTAAAATTAGAACAAAAACAATCATTAATGTTGGAATTTCAAGCTCGCGATGTTCAAACCATCGCCCGTTCAGTTCGGGTCGTCAGAGTTCTGACCAGTGTAGTAGGATATATCATTTAGCGGCTAGCCTACTCATTCTGGAAGAATTTGAATGAATGTTGATAACCACAATTTTTACAGTCAGATTCAAGTCTCGTAAATCGACATACTGTGAAAATTGCTTCGTTATCTATACCAACTGATTATTAAAGAAATCACCATTGTCTAAGGAGGGAGATGTGCTATGGTCAGTAGAACGCGTTG